AAATCAAATTATAATGAAAGAGTGTTATCCATGCTAGAAGACTTAAAGCTAACCCAAATAAAAATTTTAATCAATTTGATCATTTTAATAAATTTGAAAGACAATTTTTACTGAATAAAATCACCAGTAAACAAAATATAATATAAAATGGGAATTGAAATCAGATCTCGAGGAAGAATAATAAAGAAAAAAAAGAAAGAGAGTAGAAGCTCAGGAGAAGATAGAAGAAAACGAACAGAAAGACCTTAAATTGATAGAGAGACCGCTCCACCTCCGTCTATTTCTTTCGACACCTCCAAATTTAAACAATTATAATTTTTCTCTTTTCGAATTGCAGAATTAAGAAGTAAAAAATGACTTTTTATTGTATAATCTGAAAGTTATTTTTAAAAACAAAATCTTTCAAAATTATACAAACTGAAAGGTAAATATGAATTTCAGGTTAAGAAATTTGAATGATAAATAATTTTTGGATTGTATAATTGTTTCGGATGTGTAGGGTTGTGTCGTCCGATGTCTCTACGTCCTCCTCCAGTCGTACTTCGTGTGTCCGGTTCTCCGTACTTGCTCCTCAATTTCTTCCTCAATCCGCGGGTGGGAGACCTGCGAAAGATTCTCCGATGCCAAAGTCAGTTGAGAGCAATGGTGTTTTTCTATCGAACAGTAATAAATGTGCAGTAAATGCAACCTATCTACCACTCACCCTGGATCTGTATTTATAGTTTTCGTTATGACTTGGGATTAGTGAAAAGTTAATCACGGCCCAAATTCAGCCCAATAGCTCTTAACCTCAACTTACCTTAAACCTGGTTAATTAGTGGTATGGTCGGTCGGTCTCCTGAGATTCGACTTATGAACGAGCCGAGCCCCATAAGCGGCATGTGTAGCAAACGGCATGTCCAGCCGGCCTTTTAGTATATCCGGATGATGGGGTAAGGTCGCATGATCTCGGACGCCTGGCCGTCCAGTTTGTTGCGTCGAACCTTCGATGACGAACCAAAGAGGAACGTATTTGGTCCAGTGCAGACGTCCGGCCTATCTGGCGTCTGGTCCCTACTGGTACAATAATTAAAAAAAAAAATCTCAATCATTTTCTCTTCTAAATTACATAATTCAAAAGTTATTTTTACAACCCAACAAATTTATAAATTATGTAATAAGAAAATAACTTTTAATTTTCATATTTTTAAAAAGACAGAGAAATATATAAAGGTGGAAGAAGAAACTCTTGTAACCACATTTTTGAAGTATGGGCCATGCAAATCTGGTTAAGAATAACTAATAATGTAGTTTTATTTTTACAAAAGTTGATAGTTAATTCTCACATGACCTAAATAATCATTGACGTAGTTTTTGCTTTGGAAGAAAAATTTATCTATAAATGATATCTAGTTGTCATTGATTTGATGTATATTTTACCGTACAGATGTACGAATAATTGTCCAGTTAGAGAATAAGATAGTTGAGCGATCTTAAATACTATGCCATCTTAAGTATAACATCTAATCAAGTTTATTGGTAATTTTTACTTATTATGTATTAGATCGAGATTACAACTCTGTTAATCATAAATCCATCTCGAAACCTAAAAATAAAGTCTGAGATATAAGGTAGATGATTGCATTTATTGTGAATTTAAAATTTTATTGTGACACCCAATCAATCAGAATAGTGACTTTAGCTTCAGAGTGTCTTTGACAGATACCCACCTCATGCAGTTTGGATTGCAAACATCGATAACATAAAAAAATTGGACTAAATATATTCAAGATAACATAAGCTGACGAGAAGAAAAATGTAAAGAAGTGTTTGACAATAATTATCAACCCCACACCCGAAATTCATATAAAAATTTATATCCCATTTATCATTCACGCATATTAAAAGTAAATAAGAAAAATTAATTTAAATAAGTGGTAGAAAGCAATACGAAGAAATGGAAATTTTTCTATAAAACAAAGTGGAATCTTTCCATCACAAAAGAATTTGAAAAAGGCCGGAAATTTTAAAGAGATTGTGTTTTGCAAAATTGGAAGAATGTACCTTTCAAGTGTTTTAAGCTTTCACCTTTCAAGCTTTCACTAAGAGACAATATTCAAGTTTTTGTTTGCGTATTGGTAAAGATGTTAGAAATTTTAAAGTGTTTGTTTTTTTTAGTAAACGACTGTAGGAATAAAAAACCAAAAAAAAAAAATTGTCTTTAGAGAAAATATGCTATATGAATTTATATTGTTTTAGTTAGTAAAGTTAATTATTTCATATTTCAACGTAAGTGTAGTGGAATGAATGATCATTAGTTATATCTTAAACAATGTCATATTTTAATTAGTGAGTTAACTATTTCAGATTTCAACATAAATGTAGTGATAAATGATCATTAATTATACCTTAAACAGTTTCCTTAAAGCACTCGTTAGCATTATTCTTCAAATATTTGTACTATTACATAGATCGTTAATATTTGTAAATTGAGTAATTTAATATCCAAGTAAATTTTTATTAGTCAACAAAATTAAATATATTTTTACAAACGATGAAAAAAAAACAAAGTGAATATGTGATAAATTTATTCAACAAATTTTAAAATAGAGATTATTCTTAAAAATCCACTTAACAATAATTATTACTGTAACAAGTAAAATAGGAATATGAATTATATATCAAAAGATTTTTTTTTTTGTATATATAGATATAGATAATAATAAATTGATAGTTTGAAAAAGGTAGTTTTATTTATTTAGAAAAAACGATGTAGAAGGACTTTAGTTATGATTGATTAAACACTTTTAAAGAAAAAATTATTTTAGTAAAAAATATGTTATGTCAATAGTAGGAACAAAGTTGTTATTTCAAAACAAGTTTAACCTTCATTGGTTGTTTCCTTCTTTCTCCACCCCACCGTAGTCCTTTTCTCTGCTTCCATCAAATCCTCCGTTCATCTCCAATCCTTTTTATGTTATAGAATATACAATCTAAAATTTAAAATAAAAATATATATTTTAGATTGTACAATTATAAAAGTAAAATTTTTGTTCTAAATTCTGAAATGTATTTTTATTTTTCATTTTACATCGTATAATTTGAAATAAAAATTTTACATTCTGAATTATATATTTCGAATGGTATATTTCAAAATAAAGGAAAATAAATTAAAATTTTAAAATGTAAAGAGGTGCGGGAAAAAATTAAGGGGTTCAGGAAGAAACGGCCCAAAGACTACATGCTGACAGCCACCCAATTAATTACAGAGTGATGCTTTCTCCACTACCTCATCTTCTCTCTACACCTCCCTAATTTTTTTAAAATTCTAAATTTATTCTTTTTACTTTTTATTTTTTAAGACCTTAATCCCAATCACAATCTCAATCCCCTATCACTTACACTTTTTTTTTCATTCTCAGCAATAAGCCCTCATCCCTCCTCCCTCAATGTCCCTTTCTCTCTTTCTCTTCATTTTCACTTCCGTTAACACAAAATTTAACAGAAAAAGCAAATTGTGCAAGATATAAATTTAAAACATTTATAACTTCTGATGAATTTTGAAGTATCATAATTCAATAATATAATATGCTAAAAATTCATTCCCTACTTTCTTGTCTTTAAATAACTAAACTTGAAAATTTATGCTTAAACTTGAAACTCTTAACCACTAAGAGATAACTCTTATCGTTGTAAACCAAACTCTTTAGGTCGCAGGAGCTGAACTTCTCTTCGATGATCACTAGGTTTTCGGTGAATATCGTGGAATTTTAAAAAAATGGAAAATGTTGTGTTAATGGAAGTGAAAATTAAGAGAAAAAGAGAAAGTGACACTAGAGGGAGTGGAGGCTTGTTGCTAGGAGTGAAAGGAAAAATAAAAATGTAAGAGGATTGAAATTAGGATTTTAAAAAGTAAAAAATAAAAGTAAAAAGTAAAAAGAGTAAATTTATAATTTAAAAAAAATTGAGAAGGTGTAGACAAAATATGAGTGGTAAAGGGAGGATCATTCTTAATTACAACAGTTATACAGTTATTTAATGTAACTTTATTGATTGAAATCCTTGCATATTTTATCAATAGAAATTTCTACAGAATCTGACGTAGAAAATGAACATTAATCAATGATAACCATCTATATCAACGACTTAAGTGACATTACATTAATATGTTATGACATTTTAACCCTAACTACTTTCTTTAAACATTATCTCCAACATTTTTTACGTTATACAAAATATTCAATATATATCTATCTATATATATATATATNTGGAAAATGTTGTTTAATGGAAGTGAAAATTAAGAGAAAAAGAGAAAGTGACGCTAGAGGGAGTGAAGGCTTGTTGCTAGGAGTGAAAGGAAAAATAAAAATGTAAGAGGATTGAAATTAGGATTTTAAAAAGTAAAAAATAAAAGTAAAAAGTAAAAAGAGTAAATTTATAATTTAAAAAAAATTGAGAAGGTGTAGACAAAATATGAGTGGTAAAGGGAGGATCATTCTTAATTACAACAGTTATACAGTTATTTAATGTAACTTTATTGATTGAAATCCTTGCATATTTTATCAATAGAAATTTCTACAGAATCTGACGTAGAAAATGAACATTAATCAATGATAACCATCTATATCAACGACTTAAGTGACATTACATTAATATGTTATGACATTTTAACCCTAACTACTTTCTTTAAACATTATCTCCAACATTTTTTACGTTATACAAAATATTCAATATATATCTATCTATATATATATATATATCTATCTATATATATATATCTATATATATATATATATATTTTATTTGAATTAATCTAAACAGTTCTTCATATTAGTTGATCTTACATGGCACACATCATAAAATGTAAAACAAAATAATTATATATTCATGAAATTGGTTGATAAAATGGTGAAATCTAAAGGAAGAGCGAAGAAAAGTGAAAGAAAGTAAAGGTGTGTGGTTCTGGAAGCAGGGGACAGTGACACTTTTTAACTGGAAGAAATGCAGTGTGCAACAAGTCGCTCACACAAACAAAATATATAATTTGCATAAGTCAACTTGCCGTTGGCGGTGCGGTACCCTGTTTTGTTAGTTCATCCTCTCACACAACCACACACTTCTATTTATTTATTTTTTACTGTGTCATTCTCTTTTTCCCATCCTTCACTTCACTCTCATCTTTTCCCTAACTTCACCTTCTTATGCATTCCGTTCTGATTCCGATTCCCACCCGCCTTCGATTTATGCATTTTAACGCTGCTTAAGCACGATTCTTCAGTACCACCCGTTTCTCTCTTCTAGGGTTTCCCTTTATCAATTCCCATGGCTATCAGAGGCGTGGACTTCAAGTGGTTGGCTTCCCTCACTATTGTTGGATTCAATTCCAAGATCGCTTCTCTTTTATTCCGATTCTGATTGAATGTAACTCCTTCCTTGCAGGTACGATGGCTTTTTTTTGTCTATGCTCGCCACCAGTGTGTATCCTTTCACAAGCACTTTCTCGATTTACCTAATTTTGCTGCTGTTCTGCATTTCCATTCGCCTCATCATTCTTTCTAACTTTAGCTGAATCAGTGTTTTCAGAAATACTAAATTTATGCTACTCAATTTACCCGTTCTGGCATAAAAGTTAATTGTATGTGTGTGTATGTATTCTTTAACCTCTCTACTTCTAGAGTTATTGTCGCAATTAATTGGAAGCGGTATCATTCTTGTGCCTATCCGTTGCACATATGGATTGTGGTGAGCTTTCCTTTTAAGGTCCCTATGTTTCTATTTTTTTCATATGGCTAAGGTTGTTCATAGATGACCCCTTTCCTTTCTTTTATTGGTGTTCAGGTCGACTACACTACTGTGTTTGTTTTCCGGCTCTTGATGTTTGTTGATAACGGGCTTGCTGCGGGAATGGGTTTGTAAGACCTTCCATCCATAAACACTAATGCCACTATTGACTATTTAATAAAAAATTATAAGCTGTTTTCTTCCATCTACATTGGTTGATTGCGTTAATATACTTTTTGAAATCAGAGTATGATTAATAAGGTTGGGGATTTCACCATTCTTGTATGTTTCTTTTAGTTCGTAATTTAAATTTTGCCATATCTAAGCATGCAATAACATCACAACGTCAAATACCCTTTTATTGGTCGAAATGTACTAAAACTCCCGAAGTAATGTTTATTCACTCCCTAATTAATGAGTTTCATCCAAAATTTTGTGATTTCCAATAAATTCTAGTTAATAATAAGTAATGCATTGGAAACTGTGTTGTTACAGCCTCGTAACTTAAAATACTTGTACGCATGTTGATTGCCAACTTACAACGTGTGGATGTTGTCGATGAAATCTATCCATGCAATGCAACTAATGTGCTCATGACTATGTAGCATCAACACTGCTTGTTGAGGGTGTCGCCAAGTTTGGTGTTTGAAATGTGTTTATACTAAATCACATTCGATACCAACACCCATCAATGGCAAGTGTTGACACACTATTATGGTGTTGTAGTAAAAACGATGTTTCTTGGCTTTTTCATGTTAAGTACGTGGCTGGATACAACTATAACACCTTGCAGACACTTCCGTTTGGCATGAAATGAAAATGAACATGACGGGTACCAAAATTTGTAACTTCAGTAAAAATAAATCAAGTTTTAACTTTTCAAAATAGTAAAAAAGTTTTAGGCAGGCTGAGAAAACTTAGAAAGCTTCCTGCATATGCAAAAAACACAAATATCTTGATTTTGGTCATAAATGGATGGATTGATGGTGAAAAACAGTTCAGTAGGTCACCATCTTGTTTTATATTGCTCTTTTGTAAAGGATGTTCAAACTGTATAATGATGTCTCATAGTATTGTTTTGTGAGACTCGCGCAAGGACTTAAAAGTTTATGGGTGGAAAGTATTAATGTCCTGTGGTTTTATGAAAGTTTATTTTCATCTGTAATGGAAAATGAAGTTTCCTGGGTTTGTTTTCCACTTAATTTCTTGTGCGGTTTTTATTTAAATATATGAGTTTGTTTGAATGAGCTTCTTTATAACGATCTCTAGAAGAAAAAAAAATGATATTGACTTCTACAAAGTTAAAATTAGCTTATACGAAAGATAAAATAAAAATTGGAAAAATTATGAGATAGTTTCTACAATTTGACTTATGCATATGCTACTTTTAACTTATGGAAAAGTCAATTTTATTTTTTTCTTATTTTTCTCTTGTAGAAGTCATTATGGAGAAATTCGTCCAACCAAGTCTCACATTCCCAAAGATTTCATTCTCAAGAATATTATGACCAGGAATGATTTTCCTGGGTACATTTAAAAAATACACTTTATTAAACTTAATATTTTAGGAATAGTTTTAACATTCAAAATGATTATAATAAAGAATAAGAGTGGAAATAGAATTTATAGCTGAGTTAGCAAATAACATCCCATATTGCTATGCAAATTATTTAACTTTCTCATCCTTCTCCATACGAGTAAAAATAATGTAAAAGGAGGTATTGTTACTTTCCCAGGCATGAACAATACTTGGGAATATATTTTTAAAACTCATAACAAACATAAGAATGTTACATTCCCAAGTTCACATGCCAAAACTAAAATGTTAAATCTTGAAAGACAATATTATCAAAAGCAAAATTATTTTGATCATTTGCTTTGGTGACTTACTTTGATTTCATAATATTATCAAACTCAATTAAAATGGTTCTGAGTTTTTGTGTTGTATCTAAGAAACGAAGTCAACTGATGTTTTAATTCATCAAATTTCGGTTCTAATTCCATTGTGCTGTTATGGCTGCTCCCCCTTGTATGTTTCTAGAGATTTTGGGTGGCAGCAGAGATATGCTCGTTTCTGTGGAAGAGTAGTTGTCCTTTCAATCCTTGTGTTGCTTCTCTATCCATTTCTGTGGGCTTGGACTGTAATTGGTACCCTGTGGTTCAGCAGTGCAAAGAACTGTGTATGTTTTATTCTTGTTTAATCTTCCCTGTACTCTTGTTAACAAGCTCGTGATACATAATGCAAATAATTTACCTGCAGTTGCCTGAAGATGGTCAAAAATGGGGCTTTCTCATCTGGTTACTTTTTAGTTACTGTGGACTCCTCTGCATTGCTTGCATGTCTCTGGGAAAGGTGGTAGTGTTCTATTGCTACTCTTCTCATTTTATGTTTTGATGGTTTGTTTGTGTTCAAAGTCTTTTCGTTCTGCTTGTTCTACTGCTGCTATTCTGAACAACCCATGAACAAGAAATATCTGAAAACTACTATTGTCCTTCATTGTTTCATATTTAGGTTAGTCACTGTTCTCATTGTGGTTTGCTTAACTCTTTTGCAGTGGTTGACACGAAGACAAGCACATCTACTGCGTGCTCAACAGGGTATCCCTGTATCTGAATATGGGGTATGCTTCTTACTCAGCATATGTTACTACGTTAGCTATGTCTGTTGAGGATACCGGTGTTTGGCACCAAATACGAGTGTTTCTACACAATCTGAATAACCTAGGAAAAAATTTCCTTGTGTTTTTCCTCTTTGCAAGGAAAAGGAGTTAGGGAATATGTTTAAGTTTACCCTGAATTTGTAGTTGACACAATCACTTATTTGTTGAGTTTGGAATAGCATGTAATCTGACATACCATTGAAGCTAGCTAATCATCTGATGCAACCTTTTATAATAAAAACACTTGAATGTAGGAGTCCATATTGCTTCGTTCTAATTCTAGTAGTGTTTTGATTGTGAACCTTGTCATAGTTTGATTATGAAGTTAGGCGAATCTAGCATTTACATATAGGAAACTGCTTACTGATATGTTTGATTATTTTGTTTTGTGTACATTTTCCAGATTATTAATTGAATTGTCCTTTTTTTTACTGTTCAGCTTTATGGTTGGTTGTTCTGTTAATTATTCCTGTATATATCAGTGTTCTTATTCTCACTGTTACCAAGACAGTCCCTTCCTCTGGTAACAGAATTTGCATGTGGTTGTAATATTCTCTTCCATTTCATTGGTATTTTTCTTTTTTTACCCTCCCAAAAATATTGTATTGGTAGGTATCATGAATAGAGAATGAACACTAAGTATCCTCTATGTCTGTTGTGTGATTTCCAGTTCCCAATAAAATCCTTATCTCACTATTACAAGGTGTCATTTTGCTCAGTTAAAGACCAAAACTTCCAAGATGATCCCTCTTAGCAACTTCCTTCTATGAGCTTGATCTCTCTCCTTATCACAAGAGTAGAAATCATGCTAACTACTCTCCTCACCTGAGCTTCCAGTGACCTTTATGTGTGTCCAAACTACCTTAACCAATTTCCTATTATCTTTTTTGTGGCCACACATCCATCTTAACATATTCTCTTTTGCTACCTTTTTTTTATTTTTTCGCGTCATCTACTCTAGCTAAATTTGCAATGCATATACTTTGTCTTACTCCCATTTTAAGTATAAATCATTTGTTTTCAAATTTGTCTCTAAATGTCAAGTTTAAAGTAACCACTTCCTCTTGATTCATCGTTCAAAAATTTATCACCGGCCTACAATATTAATAGTTTTCGTACTTATATTGATGGGTTCTTTCTAGAAGTATTGCAACTCTTCTATTTCTATTTCTTCTTATTTCAAAGATTTATATATACTGGGTTGATTGAATGTGAGTTGTAATATCTTAGCAGTCTAAATGTATATACGTAACTCTTGGATTATCCATACTTCACAATTATTAGATGGTAAAAATTTCCCCTTTCTTTTTGTTAGGTTCTGGTTGACATGATCCGAGTGCCTGATTGGGCATTCGAAGCTGCTGGTCAAGAAACAAGGGGCATGGTGCAAGATGCTGCGGCATATCATCCAGGACTTTACCTAACTCCAGCTCAGGTAGTTTCAACTGATGCTATAGTGTTACTAATTTCATATTAGAACGGTCAGTTTGCCACATTTTAGTTAATGGAATATATGGCTTCAATTTTTGAGTATTAGGCTCCTACCATCTCTTTTATGTTTTTGGACAATGTGTACGTTATTTATTACTGTGTCTATATATATATATATATATATATATATAGTTAGGAATCCTCTTTCACAGCATGCAAAAAATGGGAAATAGAGAAGAAAAGAGAACAGGGTTTGGGAAATCAGAACCCAAAGATGGTACTCTTAGTATTATTGATGAAGAACATACAACACTTACAGAAGGAGCTTGTCTCCTTCAACACAGGACAACCTTTCCTATTTACAAAAGAATCAAGGATCCTCCTCCCCTCTTCTCACAACAGTATATTTATTCCTTTGCCTAACTGTTCCAACAAACTCCCAATGTGTAATAACAACCCATTCTATTAGACTTCCTCCCTTAATTACATTTAGGAGCTTTCTTTCTTCTCTGATACACTAACAGGGTTTTAGGCCCAACATTTATCTCTTAATGATTCTTTTGGTATATATATTGTTAGTTTCACTACTGATAATTAGATTTCTTTTCTGGATTGGGTGCAGAGAGAAGCAGTTGAAGCTTTAATTCAGGAACTCCCAAAGTTCAGGTTAAAGGCTGTTCCTACCGATTGCAGTGAATGTCCCATCTGCTTAGAAGAGTTCTATGTAGGGAATGAGGTATACCTTTTCCTAATCAAGGGAGGCAAGAAGGTCACAGCTTTTGCTTCTTGCTATCCATTACTGCAAAATGCTCTCCTTGTATAACCTATTGAATGCTTTGATCCTTACATTTTTAATAAAGTTGAGATGCAAAGTGTATTGTAAAAAACAACTAAAAATTAGTTTCAAACTTTAATGCAGGTTCGAGGCTTGCCTTGTGCTCACAATTTTCATGTTGAATGCATTGATGAGTGGCTTAGGCTGAATGTGAAATGTCCTCGGTGTCGTTGCTCAGTATTTCCAAACCTTGATCTTAGTGCACTATCCAATCTCCCAGCAGAGCCTGAGCGATCTTCAGCAAGCGTTGTGACAACAACCAGTTATGTGAGAGGCCAACCATCTACTCAAAGTTACCGGTTAAGATTGCAGGGTCTTCTGCGTCCTGTCCGTGCTGAAATTGCTGGCCCTGTTGGTGACATAGATAATTCTCTGGACAATGTTGAGAACGGTTTTGTATCAATTGTGACTCACAATACATCATCTGGAGACCACGTCTCTTCTGTCGAATGCGTGCCTGTCACTGTAAGACTTTCCTCTGCACAAAGTTAGGTTTGCTTTTGAATTCCTGTTATATTTCTAACCCGTTCTAGAGAAGGTGAAGAATGCATATTCAAATCCGGTCCGTGTTAAAATGGTCCACATTCTAACAAGAAATTTCACGTTTGATCCATAAAGAATTGGGTCAGCCTCGTGTCGGGGCGACATGGAGTTGTAGGACAAATCAAAATATACGATTTTGCCTAACATAGATTAGAGCAGCAAATGTGTAGTTTTCTTTCATGTTTAGTAATTTGTAAAGAAAAAAAGTATATTTTAATGATTTTGCTAACGTACATTTTATTGTTTTTAATCTGAATATGTTAGCAAATTACAGTGAGTATATTGAGATAATTGTTAGTTGTATTTTGTTAACGTATTCTAACTAAAAAACGTGGATGTTTGTTGGCAAACTCCAAAAACAGTTGTTTAGGAGTACTTGCAAATTTTAGTTGTAATGAAATTGTGAAGTGTATGTATTTTAAGAATTTATTTTGTCACAAATGTGCCAAAATTCCTTTTTTTGGAATAAACTTGTCCTCTGTAAGAATGACTGTTTCATTGAATCAATGAACATTTGTGAATGTGGGACATGCTTTTGCATTAGGGAAGCTTCTTTTTCCCTTTGAGATCCCAATATCTGACTGGGAACTTTTTATTTCGAGTTTACGGGTGATCTCTTAATGTTTCAAAATTGTCATCCTAAAATATTTGTTGGAGGTAAAATTGGCTAAACATGCCAAGTCTCTTTTTGTTTTAGCACGAAAATCTAATAATGGCTGTTATGAATTTTGATAGTTGTGTGTAGGTAGGCTGGTAGGTAGTTATTTTGGACTAAAGCCCAATTTCCAAAGTTGGTGAGGCTAAATAATGAATTAGCTCAAACTATAAGTGATGATTAAAGTCAAAATTAAGGTATAAGACTTCTAATATTTTTGTGTAAATGTGATTATATATAAACATGGAATAAAGTTAGTTATCATGTTCTATCAAAATATAAAAATTATTGCTCTTAAGAGACCAGAGATCTCTGGAAACTCCAATCAATATCAAATTATTATTAGTTTCATTAAAGTCATTGTTGTAGTAATGCAAACATTTAATATTTTTTGTTGTTGCTTCAGTAAAATCTTTACTCAGTTGTCAAAGTACTTAAGTGCCACTTTTTCTTTACAGTGTTTTGGCCTTTTTAAGAAAGTTCAGTTATAATAAGATGCCAGACGATCGGAATCACTCATAAGTTCACTTAAATTAATGTATATCAAAGTTCAACTTTCCAAAGTCCATTTAGGACACATGATTCTACTCTAGATTCAAACGCCCCGTTCAAAACATCAGATGAAGATAAATATAATTATACGTATTGTACAACAATACATGTTATAAAGGATAAATCTACGTAACTTTTTTATAAACCATTCTTGATGATTATAAGATAACTAATTACTGAAATTTTGATCTCCATAAATTAAGTTTGATTTATATATATATATATATATATATATATATATATAATACTCTTTCGATTTGTAGGATTGAGGTTATCATATAATTTATTTTTCATTCCAAATTTAGGTAACAGTTTTTGATTTTCGATTTTCTATAATACCGTTTGGGTCGATCGAAGATCTGCAGAAAATATTCTAACGCTCAAGTTAGTATTTGTCTAGACAATTTAACAGCTAATGCGTAGTAAAAAATAATCAACTACCTTAATATCAAATTTGTATTTATAGATTTCGTAATGGACTTTTGATTAGAGTTGGTCCAATTACGGCTCATGCACTCATAACTTGAATTAAGGTTAACCTAATTACTTCAGATAACTAATCTGGTTTATGGTCCAATGGATTAGTTTTTCCGGTCGCTTCATTGTTAGATGGTTGACTCTTCGGTCCATGACTGACCGAACGGTCGTACGGTACAAATACAATATATATATATATATATATATGAATATTTTGTATTTCTTTTAAGGGTTAAATATATTTTTAGTCTCTAAATTTTGATATGAAATTGAAATTTGTGTATTTCCAAAACTTTGACATATTTTGATTTCTAAACTTATAAATATGAATTAATATAGTTTTTTTAATTTAATTACGTTAAATTATTTTAACATGTTAAACGTGTTTTCTAGTATATATTGAAGCGAGAAAGTGTCAAACAATGTATACAACTCAAATATTAGCATAAAACACGTTTGATATGTTAAAAGAATGTAAGGTAATTGAGTTAAAAGAATTATATATATTCATTTTTAAAGTTTAAGAATCAAAATGTATTAAATTTTGAAAATCAATTGTGTCAAATTTCATAACTAAAAACATAGTTAATAATTTTTTAATTTAATTAATAATTTATTATCACTAATTGATATGACAAAAGTAAATAGATTTTAAATATTGATTCACATAAGTTTAAAATTCTATTTATCTGAAATTTTCAGGATCTATAATTTTCAGACATGTAAACATAAGCTTTTTTAATTACACTCACCGAGACACTCTTTTGGTACATGGTGGTGATTCTTTTTTCATCAAAGAGAGGAAATAATAGTGAAAGTTATGTGTTTGATCTTATGCTCTCTCATAAAGGAAAGAATATGATATTAATAGTACGTATGGTCGCATGATGTGGTGGATGAAGATAATTGTGGGTTAAAGATGCCTTTCATGGTCATTGGAAGTAGATTCTTCTACGAACCTATACGTGCTTTTGGCGGTTGGGCGAAGTGATAAAAGGTGTTTTGAGATGAGTAAGACAATTTTCATGTCAATGGAGTTAAGTTTCCATAGTACTTTTGTCTAAATCATTGTCATTAAGACGCGTGGGAGGAACATTGTTAATAAGCGTTTGGTTGAAGTGTGTGAAGGAATCTGTGCCTTTTCCACACTCAAGATAGCTCAGTCATCAAAGAAATGCGATATTTTTTCTCTTTTCTACAAGCTTGTAGCTATGTGGATTGGACCCACTTAGATTTCAACCTTTTGTTTTTCTTTCTTATTATCATTTAAATTTCAATTAGAGTGAACTTATTTTTATGCTAACTGTTAAACCTCGTTATCATAAAGTTAATTGATGAAACCTTTTTTAAATGACAAGCGCTGATGTCATCATTTCTGTGGTCGGACACTTTTATTATAAAAATTAATAACTATATTACTGTTAGCTACTAATGTCATCTAGCTTACAACTAAGTTAAAATTATGTTACTATTTATATGAGTTAGTTAAAATTATATTAAGAACATATAATCATGAATTTTAAACTTGATTTGAGTTCTATAAAACTTTTATTCCATTAAATTATTTTCAGGTCAAGTAAAAAATATTTCTATATTTTAAAAAAGTATTACTTACAAAAAATTAAATAAAATATAAATTTTAAGAAAATCTAAAAAATAACGTAACACAATAAAATAAATCAAAATTCCATAATTCTTCATTGTGTTTGAATTATAATAGATGTTATAAGAAAAATTAAGAAAATTACTTCAAAGTATCATATATTTAAAACTAGCCGTGTGATAATTTGTAATGAAAGTTTTATCCTTAAATTATTCTAAAAGTATATATTTTATTTCGAAATCAATTTTATTTTTCGTCCATATATTTTATAAAAATAATGTAAGACTTTCTTCAAACAAACTGAATATAGAATGTTTTTTATATAACAGTTTAAAAATGAAGTATACTATCTCTATATACTATTAATGAAATAAACATACAGTTTAGTTTAAAGATAAAATATAATCTTTAAAAATAATTTAAATACAAAAAACATATTAAATTCTTATAGTTATTATACATTTGAATATTTAACTCAACATATCTTGAACCGTAAACATTATTTTTCTTTCACATGTAAGGAAATTGTCTTTCTAAAAGAATACTATAAAATATAAACCTTATATATTCCATGTAAATAAAAATATATATATATTCTTAGAAAAGAACAAAAATATGAAAAGAGGAAACAACGATGTTCAATAAGTCAAGTAATCTGGAACTGCCAAGTAACCGGAAGTGCAGGTACGAATAAAACCCGAATTAATAATTACCAAATTTCAACAGAGCTTGTATCTCGTACAGAACCCACACTTTTCCTCTTTGCACTCCAAGAATAAAAACACATAGCAGGCCGTACGATGATCCTACGTGGCGATATCTCAATGCTTAAAGAAAACGCGAATCGAATTTTGAAGAATCGAACCCACGTGGCAGGGTCCCACAGAAAACCCCGTAGCGGAAAAATGCCTAGTCCCCTACTTCGTTTTTCACTTTCTTTCCACTTTCTCCCACCCAAACACTCTTCTCCTTTATTCCCATTTTTTTTCCTCTTTAAATTCCGCCACCACCCTTTTCACCAACGCCGTGCCCTCTATGAAGAACTCCGACCCCTCCGCCCACTTCGAATCGCCTCATTCCCCTCTCCGCTTCCGATCCTCCCCGCTCTCCGACAACGGCGACCCCTTCCACTCGCCCGAAAATTCGCCGATAAATGACCACCGAGACAACTCCAGGGCCATCGTCATCGTCGAGACTTCCACGCAGTTCGCCCAGGCAGCGCCCCCCGCCACCGAGTCTGAACACCGCAACCCACCGCCCAATGAACTGCCGGAGGTCGTGGTCACCCGTCCCGCGCGCCCGGAGCCTCGCTCGCCAGCCGCGGCCCACCGCGGCAGGACAAGAGCGGCGCCGCCCCCTTCCCTTGCAGTGCCGAAAAGAGAGGTTATGCTGAAAAAGGTGGCGTTAGGGTTCAGGTTGAGCGAGGTGGTGCTGTGTCTGATTTCTTTTTCGGTTATGGCCGCGGACAAGACCCGTGGTTGGAGCGGCGACTCTTTTGATCGCTACAAGGAATACAGGTTTAAGGTTTTTTATTTTTTCTTTTGTGTTTCTTTATCCTTCTTTGTATCAACTTGGTTTCTGTTTTATTTATTTTTCTGTTATTTGGGTCAACGCATTATCAATTGTCGTAAATAATTTCGTGAAACCTTTATTAAATATGTATGGTCATTTACTTTAGGCGACTCTGTTGAAATTGGGAACCGGGTTTTTTATGGCAGGTATTGTTTATCGGTGAATGTTATCGCATTTGTATACGCAGCGTTTCAAAGCTGTGATCTGGCATATCAAGTAGTGGCAGGGAGAAGCATAATGAATCACCACCTGCGTTACCACTTTGATTTCTTCATGGATCAGGCAAGTCTCAAAACGGTTGAATTTATGTTTTTGGGCTGAAATTGTTTGTTGAATGTGGGTGACATTAAAATGTGTTGTGATGGGCAGGTTCTGGCGTATCTTCTGATAT